TACACAAACATTTGAAAAAGTTACATCAAAGAAATTAATTTCTAGTAATTTATTAAAAGCTTATTTCGGTAAAGAACTCTTTACAGAAATTCATTCATCATTAAATAATTTGGATAAATTAAGATATCTTGTTAGTAAAGTACAGCAAAAGCAATTTCCAAATGGACAAGGTTTACTAGGTATTGTTACTGAATTTCGAAATGGAAATAAAGAATTTGATGGATATTTACAAGAAATTGGTATTTATAAATTATTTTAAATTATTATATTATATTTATTTGCTTATTAATTTATTAATTTATAGGTATATTTGATGATGGAAAATTTATAATTATTTGTATGAATAAAGAGTAAGCTATTGCTTGGAAAAATACAGATAATTTTCAAATAGATATGGCATTTAAACGTATACGTGGTGATATCAATGAATTTGAAATTAATGATTATAATGAAAATTATAATCAAAGTAAGAAATTTTAATATATTTATTTAAATTATAATTTTTTATATGTAATTAATAAATAATATTAAATTTAGGTGTAACATTTGCTCGAGTTTATACAAATGCCATGTCAGCTAAAGCATATTGTAAAATTTTTACAAGTTTATGGAATCATATTAATTTATTAACAAATGAACAACCACATTTTAATTATATACATAATAATGGATGGAAGTGTATAATTGGAGATTTGGACCAAGGACAAGCGAAAGGGTTAGGATTAGCTTTAGCTAATATAGAACCAAAATATACTTGGAATGAACATTTAACTTTTATTTTTAAAAGTTGTAAAATACATTTTTATCGGTAATTAATTTTTTTTATTTATTTATAATTAAATATTAATTTATTAAACTAATTAATAAATTTATATTAGAAATATCAAGAATAGTGGATATAATGAAAATATTAAAAAACAAATATTTGAAATTGCTACTGCTAATACAAAATCAGAAATTGAAAAAATTTTCTCAAATTTAAAATCAGATTTAAATGAAAATTTAAAAGGTACCTATTTTATTAATTAAATTTAACATATAAAATTTCTAATACATATTATTAAATTTTATAGAATGGGTTGAATTTTATTCAAATGACTGGGTTCTTTCTTCTTTAAATCCTGTATTTTCTAAAATTCCACTCGATACATGGTATTCTGTATCAGATAATACAAATGTATCTGAAAGTAGTCATGCAAGAGTTAATCGATATGGAATAGATCTAAATCTTTATACAGCAATTCAAAAGTATATATAATTTTATTAATTATAGTTTAATTTATTATTTATTTACTAAAAATTTTTTAGAGGATTTTTAGAGGATAAGCGAACATTTCATTCAATTAAAACACATCAAGTTTCAGGAATTTCTTGTACTAGTCATGATCGTGGTATAGTATCAAGAACAATTCATTCATTAAAACAAAAAAGTAAGTAATTAATTAAATTTAATATTTTATTATTTATTTAATAAATTTTATATACAGTATTAATTTTAATTAATTTAGATATTAAAAAGCGAACATTAAAAGTAAAACCAAAATCAGTAAAAAAACAAAAAAAAACAACAAAACAAATTAATATTCAAGAAAGCGATGATGATAATATTAAAAACTTAGAAGATTTAGAAGTTAAAGAAAGAAGATTAGCAATTAAAGAAAAAGAAATTGCATTAAATGAGCGAGAAATAGAATTAGAATTAAAAAAATTGCAGGTTGAAAAAATGAAAAGAGAGCTTAATCTGTAAAATTTGCATTAAATAATAGCATTCATTGCATAATACGTATATTTAATTTGTGCTTAATTATTGTATTTAATATAGCTACTCGAATTCTAATTGTCTTAGTTATTCTAATTGATAATAATTAATGCTATTACTACAAACTTATAAATTTTATGATATTTAATTATTTTATTATAACTCTAGCAATAAAAAAGATACCGTACTTATTAAACATAAAGTATAAAAATCATTTTATAATAGTACTCTAGCTGACTATATGTTAGATATTAAAACACTTTACAGTATTTAAAAATTTTTATAATAGTACTTTAGTCGACTATTCTTTAGATATTAAAGCACTTTACAGTATTTAAAAGTACTATAAAGTACCTATAGGGTACGCTATAAAAATAGTCCGGCCTTTACTTTTCTAAAATTAGGAACTGGTACTCTATAAAAATAGTCCGACTGAAAAAATTACCGATGACCGAGTCGATAAGTTACGGAGTCGGAACCGAATTCGGCCGAACTCAGAAACTTATCGATTCGGCCATCGGCAATTTTTTCATTTGTTCCAGAATTTATGAAAACAGCTGTAATATCAATGAGTAGCGCATAATTTATTTTATCTCTCATTTTTGGTACAATGAAGAACATATATGGATATTGCCTCTCTGCTATTGAGCAACCTGCTAGCCTTTTCAAGCATCGATTGGTTGACTAACTATTCTGTTTTATTTTAGTTTTCACCATGTTACTTTAGGGTGTTACAATTATATTTAATTACAAACATAGACTAAACGACTTAGTAAATTGTTTTAATAAGGATTTTTGTTGATCAAATTTTTAGCCATATGTTATATGTTCGCTAAATTTGTAGATCTGCAAGTGCATTAGCTCAATATGTTTAATTAAATCTGTATGCTTTTACTTGATCTCAATTTGTGATATTAATAAGTCGAAAAACTTTATTAAGTTCTTTGTTTAGCATATAACATTAATTTTCATATGTGCTTTTTGACAAACTGCTTTTGACAATTATATACTTTTTTAAAAATGTTTATGCTATAAGGCATTATTAGATCAAAATCAAAATTGCTAAAACTTTTGTTTTACAATTGTTTGCTTTATAAAATTTGATGATAAACTTTAATATAATAACGCATATTTTTATATATCATATTAAGTTTATTAATAAGCGAATGGTATAATATAATTCGAAATTAGTATTTTTAATAAAGACAATATTAAATTGATAAATAACCAATTATTGTAAAATTTGACATTATTATATTATAAAATATACTTTAAGAATCTTATTTATTTTACAGGTTTAAAAAATATTTAGTAAATAGCAATTTTTATAAGTTAATTTTTTCAGTTGACCCAGAATTTATGAAAACAGCTGTAGTACACTCTTCCGGGACCAACTTTTATCGAAATTCCGGGATTTACTGTACTGATTTCGCATTTAAAGGCATGTATTATTGTTTTCTTGTCAAATTTTTACGGTACTGGTACTTTATAAAAGCATATACAAAATGTTAATGAACATTTTGTTAAGCCAATTAAGGTAAAATATTTACAATAATCCGCATCATATTACAGTGCATAGATAATGCCTATCAACGATCTGTTCCTTGAATCAGTTTATCATCATCATTAACATTACAGACTAATGTAACGATAATATAGATTCATTCGTGCAAAAATTCTATATGTTCAAACGCTTTTTAAGGAAATTCTTTAAACAGCAATTATTGATGGCACTTCTTTTTTTTTAAAAAAAAACGTTGAATACAATATATTGCTGATCTTTTATTTTTATTTTAAGGAGTATTACTATATCGATATTAAAAGAATATCATTTACCACATTTAGAAATATCTTAATCAAGTAATTTTTCAAAAAAAAGGACCAATTTTCTGACCCTTTTTCAATTTCTTTATCTGGAAGTGAAGCAATTAAATTTAGGTTTGATTGGCTACTCGCTTTCCAAATAAGGAAATTGAAAAATAGGTCGGTATAATGTCAACTTAAACTACATGCATATAGTCAGCTGGCTTAGCCAGCCGATTAAAACATTTAATTAAATCGAATAAAGACTGCCTAGATTTAATATATATATATATTTAATGATCATGCGGCTAGCTAACAGCTTCACGGGATCTCTCAGAAACCTCCACAAAAATTCAAAATTAGGATTTTTTGATATATTGATTACCTTTAAATTGCAGATAATCATTATTGGTGCTATTTATTATTCATACAGCTTTAAATCATTTTCATACTAATAGTTGTTTAATCTATATTTTAATATCGAAAAATGAAAATATTATGATTTTGAAGTTTTTGTTATGCGTTACTCACTTTGAATAATATACTTTTTCGGAACAAACTTTATTAGCATTATGATTATAGATGCCTGACGAAACTATTTTTGCCGTTGACGAAATGACGAAACGATATATATTTACTGGCAACTGGTTTACCTAATATCGACACTAAAAGGTATGCATGATTGTTTGCTTGCTAAATATTTATGGTATTTATAAAGGTATATATGAAATTCTAATAACTTTTTTTGGTAGGCAGACAGAAATTGATTTTCTTGTGATCGCACGTGTGTAGATAGTTTATGCGCTATATTATTCGGTTTATTAAAGCATATACTGCATTTTAATGTCATTATAATTCTTTAAAAAGGTTTGCTAATTAAGGTAAAATTTTAATTGGTGTTTATATTACAATACGTAATGATTATCTACATTTACAATTTTTGCGATCTGCTCTTTGAGCCAGTTTTATTATGATCATAAATTATAAACCAATAACACTTCTAATGTAAAATTATTTTACTTTATTTTAGGGATATTCTATAAACAGCAATTATTGGCGCGGTCATATCTACACACTTTTCACACTTTTTTTCAAAAAAAAAAGGAAAATTTCGAATACAATAAATGTGAATATATATTTTTTTTACTAAATTAGGTATATACACACGTACTACCTTCAAAATGCCTAATATGTTAATAATTTACAGATCTTTACTTTATTTAAACAATTAACATTATTAGATTTAATACGTATATTGATACTGTATTGTGAAATTCTTGCTGTATATTTAAATTTAAAGAATATAAATTACCGTTACGTATTTTTAATCATATTTTGAAATAGCTTAAACAGGTAATTTTCCTTATCTCTTTGTAAAAAATTCTTATAAATTCAGCTGAGACAAAAGAAAAAGGCTTATGATAATTCATTCTCAGTTATGACATTTAAGATTAAGATTGAAACAAAGTCATCCATGCGACAACGGATAAATAAGCCCAAAAAAAAACGTCCTAAAAGAAATGGGCATTTAACCACATTTGCACTTCAACAACCTGGAGGTACATTCCAATCACCTGCTGATCAAATTCAACCGATGCCTGAAAATGATCAGTCTAGACAACAATCACAGGTTAATAATTACCAATCTGTGACAAATCAAGTAGCTGATCATGACCAATCAATAATTCATAATACTCAGTATGTGAATTCATTAAATCAACAATCACAAGTTCATAATATTCAACAATTTGAAACAAATCAGGAAACAATGACTCAATTATTAGATCAACAGTTTGTGAGAATAGATATTCCAGTGGAAAATTTTGCTGGATTAAATTTTCCTGTTCAAAATTTAATAGGAAAATTAGTTGGATTAAATGTTTCAGAAAATTTAGTAGAGATTTATATTTTACCTACAGAAAATATATATTATACTCAAATTCAGGCGGTTGATCAAGACCAAACAATGTCTCAAACATTAGACTAACAGATGAAGATTAAATATTCCTATGGAAAATTTGCTGGATTAAATTTTCCTATATAAAATTTGGCCGACTAGATAGACGTTCTATAGAAAATTTTGCCGAATTAGATTTTTTTGAATTTATAAATTTTTATTTTTCTGGGTCGGATGTAATTTCCCGTGGAAAAACTTTATCAACCAGATTAATTTACAAATTAAACCGATTCCATGTTCGATGTAAATTATTGTAAAAATAGCAAATTTAATTTGGATAGTGATTCCAATTAATTTGCAGTTACAAATAGTATATATGTATAAGCCGTAAGTTATCATTTATGTCATATGGTTAAAAATGCTTTTTTTTGTATGTGTGTATGTATTTTATATATAGGTTTTGTATGTATTTTTTATATATAGGCTTTAGACTTCAATATTTTAAAAAATAAATGTAAAAGATAAAATAAAGAAATAAATAAAAAATGATAATTAATAACAATTTTACTAAGAATGGAGTGAAATGAAGTAAATGGTCACAAATCGAAAGGACATATCCTAGTGTATGCGATTCATGTTTCGAGCTAAATCTATTCATTATTGTATATTTTTTATAATCGCAGGTATGCACAGTGCATACATTTGCGTCCATATGTGCAAATGTCGTGATCTATTCTTCTTTTTCTGAAAAAAAAATTGCTTGGATTTGAAGTTCATAAAAAAAAAAAAAGGACACAAAGCTTGATAAGTACATGAATATGAAAGGAGAATTTGGTCATTTGGTGATATTCTGCTATAAGGATTACTGTATAACCGCGAAATAACGCACACGAATTTTAATCGAATTAAGCTTAATTCAGGCCATTATTCAAATCATACCCCTGTGCGTTATTTCGCTGTTATATGGTATATAAATTTTAACAAACTTCATATCAAAGCTTTAAGCATCAACAAGGCAGATTTTTAAAAAAATTGTCGATTTTCCGTTACGTGATATTTAGCCAATTAAAAACCGAGATCAGGTGTAACGTAAAGAAAATCAATATAGACTAGTAAATCACCTTTTTGGTCCCCTCAAACCCAAACAAATCTTATGTGACGTCGGAAAATCACGTGACCGGAAAATCGTTCCTATGCCGCAGGTCTCCAATACTTTTTTTTTATTATCGTCCTTCAGAATTGAACTAACCAAATATGGATTTATCGTTAATTGTCTTCAAATAATCTTCAGAGCTGTTAACGGCTTATCCGAAACAGTTTAGCTGTACAGTGAAGTCAAACCGACAATTAAGCTATAACTTGGGGTTGCAGCTTTTAACTATGACTCGGCATGGGCTACAACAGCTGAATTGGCTTTTTAAAGTCATAGCTCTAGATTAAACCATAATTATTGAAGCAATGACTTGTATCATGGCTAGAACATGACTTGAGTCATGGCTCGATAACACCGATACAGTATTACAGTAGCATTGCATTGAATATTATTCTGTAGAGGTAGCTTCAGTAGTAATGATTTTAAAGCAATATAGTATTTAAAGGAGTCATATAAACGTTAACTGCTCTAAAATCTTCAATGGGTTGACATTGGTCTACAAAACACTTCGTCATATAATGTCAGGTTTTCACATGATATCTTAAGAACTTTTCTTATTTAATCAATTGAACATTATCAATTTATATATTAATTAATTTCTCGGTAAATTTTTATTCATATAATTTAAGGCTCTTTAAACACATAATTAATAAGTCGGAGTTAAATTTTCAATTGCTGGAAAGTCGAAAAAAAAAGAATTATTGAAATCTTTTTTTTTTTTTGTCATAAACTTGGCTAAAATTTAATATCCGCATTTCGCGATATGAATCTTCAGCAAAATTACAGTAAAGATCGCTTCAAATCTTAGTACTTAGGCCGTTTGAAGTTAATTTTTCGGTTAACATCACCCCCTCCCCCCTCCCCTTTGGCGTCCCCCGGTAAAATGAACATATAAAAAAGTAAAAATTAAAAAATCCGTATTACCACGAAATAACGCGATGGGATGTGGTTTTGAATTTCGGCCTAAATTAATCTTAATTCAGGCCGAAATTCGAAATAACTCCCTATGCGCTATTTCACAGTTATACGGCAAATATAAAATAAAAAATAATTTAAAATAAAATAAAATAAAATAATTTAAATTAAATTAAATTAAATAAATAAATATATATATATATATTTAAAAAAAAACAAGAAACAATTCAGTTCCCACTTGGCTGTCCTCTCACATATGTTTATTTCAGTTTATGATGAAACGATTCAAGAAAAACTGCCGAAAAAAGAGCATCTGAAGTGTTTTTCTATTCGATTGTGAAGAGAGAACTAGTATTAATGATTAAGAAATATTTAAATAAACATTTAACTTTTGCAGAAATAACAATTACAAATCAATTATTCGAATCGATACTTTTTTACATTTTTTAAGCCATCCGATCAGTGATTTATTTAAAATTTGTACGTATTCAGCCAATAGGAACTTAAAAAATGATGCAGATCCGATCACAAGATCACGAGAATTTTGGCTGTAAAAATTATACGTATGAAGTTGTTTTCTCGGATGAATACATGATATAATTAATTATTTACTTGTTTATTTTTATCCTCTCTTTTATAATAGGAATGTAAAGTTAACTACTGAATCAAATTTATCTGACCTAATTAGCAACTCAACTAGAATCTTCTGGAAAGTGATGTTAACCGAAAAATTAACTTCGAACGGCCTTATCTATAGTCCAATCTCTACAACGAATTTAGGCAAATTTTTTTAAGCTAAGCTTACTATATAACGTTAATGCTAAGACTAGATTTCAATCTATTATTATTATTTATACTGTACTTTTCATGCAAATTATACTTTTACTATTGATTTAATCATTTGGGGTCATGCGATAAATTTTGGCGGCGATTACTCGGGTTTTTTGACCCCTTTCGGAGTACTAGTTATAAGAGACTTAATAGAATTATAAAAAATATATTTCCAATATATGCTTAATATACCGGGTGTCCCAAAAGTTCCTATACACAATCCCTTTTTTTTTTAAAGTGCCCTTATGTATAGAGATCACGATGATTATTTATGCAACACTTAAAAAAAAAGGGACCATGTATAGGAACTTTTGGGACACCCGGT